ACCCCCTACCCCCCTCCCTCCTCTCTCTCTCTCTCTCTCTCTCTCTCTCTTTCTCTCTCTCTCTCTTCTTTTCTCGTGTTTTTCCTCCTCGTTTTTCTTCAACCGCGTGCTATGAGTGCCAACGATTTATTGGCGAGGCATTAATATGAATCACGAAAGCGGAACTATGAATGCTTAATCTTTCGAGTCCGATGTCTTATCTTTAAGCTTTTTATCGAATCTATTAATTTATGCGATATGTTATCATAGCGACCGCGAGATTAAGATAACATAAAATTCTTACGGAAGCTGGGCTCAATGACCGACGAATCATAATTTTTCGCTAAAGACATTATAATGGATCGGTATCCCTTATCGGCGCAACAATCTAAAACAATACATAATTTGTAAAATAAAAAGTAAAATAAAAAAGTCGAGAAAGGAATTAATGGTCACATAAAAGTCGCAAGGTGAAAATGGGAAGTCGTCCGCGCGACACTCTTTGCTTTCGAGTAATTATCATGTAATTTCATCATGGATAAACGCGAGCAAGCATTGTCTTCGTGGAACCTCTTAGAGATACGATAATTATCACTCATGGCCGCTCTGAAACGCAGTAATAAAAGATTTTATTACCGCTTTTTCATTCGCAGGTCCCATTCCGCGTTAAATTATTACAATTTGAAAAAAACAATCTTGCCGCGGCACAATACCACATTTCCGGACGTTTCATTATTTTTATATTTTTAAAAGAGAAATATAAATATACATCATTATAATTCGTGAATCTAAAATATAACAGAACGTGTATACTAGAAAAGTATACTAGAAAAGTAGCTTTTATTATGTAATTAATAAAATTTTCAGAAGGATAGCATGAAAAATCATTGCGCTCATTTCGAGTATTCGTTGTCTTTCAATCAAAAGTATTGTCCAAGGCAACAAGGACATTACTTTGCAGTTGAACCTTTAAGCCGATTTCACGTCGGGTTTCTTCGCTCTAATACTCTTGGCGAGCACGTGATCGAGGGTACACGATTGATTATTGTTGGACAATTGATACCTTTGCCAAAGGTATCGAACCGTGAGATTAAAAATGCGATCACACATTTTCGCGGTGAAATGTCTCGTGGGTGATTTTTCAGCATTGAGCACCTTTCAACAATCAGCGCTGAATGGCAATACTTTCATAGAAATTGTAATAAAATGTCCGCAGTAAAGGACTTCGATCGGTGAAATGGACAGATGAAGCATCATCAAGAAGGGGCACGCATGAAAACGAGCATGACTGATTATTATAAATTACCAAACTACTTACTACGATTAAATAAATTTTATCCCTTGATTGTTCATTCTGTAAACCGATTTTCAACAAACAAAATTTATAGAAATTTTTAAACTTATAGAAACTTATAGAAAGAATTTTTTTAATATATTAGACATTTGTACAATAAAGTTACGCGTTGTTAATTATTAAGTTTTCAAATCCTTGAAAAATTCTTGAAACTGTGAATACTTCCGTTATCCAGCTTTCTTTAAAACTAATATTTTTAACATTCTGTAGATAAATATTTCAACATTTACTTATTGACATTTTCCTTGAGATGTCATGTCAAAAATGGTTTATAAAACTATTGATTTCTTTGATCGCCAAGATGTTTAACAAGTTTCATCACTTTCGTTTCATATATTAACGTCTGCGATATTAGATATTATTTAATAATTTTTATCAATAGCCAGTGCAGTTTTTAAGTGCTTTCAATATTGGAGAAGAAAATGCTATGTTTACTAACAAGAATGCTATTACCAATTTCGAAGAAACTCAATGATTAATATAATTTAACAAATTGAGAGTTTCTAATTATTTGAATCAGTGATGCGGATAATAACCTTATTATTAATAATGTATGTAAGAAATAATTTAATATATGTTTCTTAATTCGATAAATGCGTGTTCGCAGTTGCACGCATTATTTTTAACGCAAGAGATCTCGAGGGGTTTCCACGTCAACTTTTGCGTGTAAAAACCGTTGTTACGGTATAACTATTTACTGGTATCTCATACAACTCTAGCGCAATCGTTATATACGTATAATCATATGCGTAGACTCTCGCACATGCAAACGATTAATAAATGTGATTTTGACACGATTCCCATCATTTTACTCACGCAATAATTGTATGCATACATAAGCGTGCCATACTCGTAATTTTGCATGATAAAATCTTTAATAAGAAAACCGTTTATATTATATTACTAGTAAATTAGCAACGATTAATTAATATTTAAATATGCTTGAAACATGTAATTTTATATATCATAATTCTTGATTTTTTTAAAAACAATTTCCACTTATTATTCGGTGATTAATAATCGTTAATCATCTATTGATAATTACCATTGCTGATTAGAATTTCAATAAGAACATGGTCTAATATCCGATGTTTTATGTTTAATTAAGGCACATTCTTGTCAGTCACGCTACGAATCCAATCTGCATGCCTAGTGAAATTAAACGCATCGAAAATTAGTAAGGCGGGCTGCGAAGAACTCTGAGAGAAATCCTTTCGCTGATATGCACGAACGAACATCGAGTAAAATCGGTTCCTGCGTAATCGAGAGAGTATCTAAATAGTTAAACTTCCATCGCATTATCCAGATATTCGTTATTTCCATTCGGGCTTATATCTTATATTACTTATATCAATAATAAACTTGTCCAGTTAAAAAAGATAATAAATTTAAGAGAAGCGTTTATAGAGAATATAGTTAAGAAGAGAATATAGTTTGTGAGAACTTTAATTATTATATACCATTATATACTGTTATATTAGTATTATATACTGTTTATAATCGCACATTCAATATGGTTCAACGAAACGTCGCTTGAAGCCTCTGCTAAGCTTATTGTTGGATCCTTACACGGCTTCGTTCAACTGAGTAGGACTTCCATCATAAAAAAATTGATATTATTTGAAATAGGTGTCCTCGTCATGGAGAAAAAGAAAGATGGAGATGATACAAAATGAATTATTTTAAAATAAGATGAGTGCAATAAAAATGCGATGAGAAGCGTAATATTGACATTTGTTTTTTGATACCAAATGAAATAATCATGCATCTATATTACGTATTATATAAAAATATAAAGAAAATAATTTTTGGATTAATTAGAATATATATCACATAGTAATATATAGTAAATCTTGCTAAAAAATTTTAATGATCAAAATTTAAAAAAAATTAATTCACAAAAATTTGCACACATCGGCATAGAAGCCAACATTTTTAATATTGTAGCTTTCTCTGTACATTTACGAATTTGATCTTCGTGTACTGCACGAATGCACTATTTAATGATTCTTACAACCAGTCTTTCGATGTACACGAAGAAAACTTGAAATTAAACAGGGCACATCTTTCTTGACAGACCTATTTTTGCGCCGGTCTAACCGATACGAGCTTAATACTATTAAGGAGTTAATAGGTATCCAGTTGGAAAACGAACACTCCCAGTAGTGTGTCGCAGCCGACAGAACCGACAACGTTCGTTGATGCCTCTCAAGATTTTTGAGATTTCGAACTTTCGAGGAACGAGGAAAGCACAGTAAAAAGGCAGTAATCGATCAATAAAATTACTTCGGTAAAAGTTATACTATTATCGGAGAGTGGCTGCGCGATAAAACTTTCTCTAATTCGCTTTAATCTTTTGCAAAAAGTGTCTCGTAAAAAGAAGAATAAATGGAAATGCCAGCGCGTAAGTAACCGATATCATTAAGATATTTTAAGTACTAAATATCGCCTTATTTATATAATTGAAACCGGATTAATCAGCATTCCGATGTTAGTTTTCAATATTCGAAAGCGAAGAAAGCGAAAGGCAATATTTTGCTGGTCTCGTTATTCCATTTGATAGTCTTCGCCGGCGTGAATCATCTCATTACAAGGCTGTAGTGAACAGAAACATGTTCGTCTATGTGTAGAAATGACCGGAGGCGGGACTAACATGGCGTACCACGGCCTCAGTCAACATGTCAACTTTGATGTTATACCGGATCCGGGCGAGCGTTTTCGATTGGAAGAATTGATTGGCGAGGGTACGTACGGCGAAGTGTACGCTGCTTACGACAAAGAGACCGGCAACAAGGTGGCCGTCAAAATACTGGAGAATGTCGCCGACAACATCGAAGAGATCGAAGAGGAATATCTGGTGTTGAGAGATTTAAGTCAACATCCGAATATTCCCCTCTTTCACGGTTTATTTCTAAAGCGCGCGAAGCCCGGTCAGGAAGAGGACCAATTATGGTTCGTGATGGAGGTACCGTCGTTTTACAATAAAACAAATTCATTGGGGAGGAGGAAAAAAAAGATGAAAATGTGCTGAATTTTTTAATACGAGAAGTTATACATAAATATACATATAAAGAAGTAAAAGATTAAGATTACTTTGATTACTATGATTAATGATAATAAAAGCTCTTTAAGCTCAGACGATGCTTTGTAAAAGCTGTTGTTTACTCTGTATTAGATTTTATAAATATTTTCCGTTAAAGAGAAAGCAAGTGGTTTAATTAAGAAAATATCATACTTTCTAATTCGAATTTTTTATGTAGTTTGGTTTATTTTTCTGCAATTCCCACATACATTAATTTGTCGGTCTTCCAAGGAACGGAATCGGGGTATGTAAAAAGTTAATTGCTCCGGTTCCAGTTGTGCACCGGAGGCTCCGTGACCGATCTCGTGCAGGGTCTCAAAAAACGCGGCAGTCGCCTAACGGATGATCAAATAGCTTATATCTTGAAGGAGACCATCGAAGCTCTGATCTTTCTGCACAGTAATCACTGTATGCATCGCGACGTGAAAGGTCATAACATCCTGCTTACGGAAGCAGCGCGCGTCAAATTGGTCGATTTCGGCGTATCCTCGCATCTGGTCGCGACTCTCGCCAGGAAAAACACATCTGTCGGAACACCATATTGGATGGCACCGGAGGTGAGTTTATCCACCGAGAAGTTTCGCCGTCAAAGTTTTATAATAAAATCATTGTAATAAAATCAAAGCGGTGGAAAGCGGCGAATCTATCTGGGATAAATTGAAGAAAACAACGCGCGCGTGATTCATGATATATCTCATATAATTTCAAAATGTTCGGGAAATATGAATACAATTTGCATCTTTCGATCGTGTCGCAAAATAGGTGATAGCTTGCGAGCAACAATTGGACTCGTCCTATGATTCCCGCTGCGACGTCTGGTCAATCGGCATCACCGCGATCGAGCTAGCAGAGGGCGATCCTCCCCTGTCGGAATTACATCCCATGCGAGCGCTCTTTCAAATTCCGCGAAATCCTCCTCCGTCTTTGAAGAATCCGGACGTGTATTCGTCGGAATTGACGGATTTCATAGCCGAGTGCTTGGTGAAGGATCTGGAGCACCGGCCGTTCGCCAGCGAATTGAGAGAGCATCCGTTATTAATGAACGTGGAGCCGATCGTGGGGAAAATTAGGGAGCAACTGAGAGAGGAGATTCGCAGACAGAGGGCAGAAGGTCGTATTCATCGGCAGCCGGAGGTAACCACGAAACATGGCAAATTGAAGACGGACCGCAAGACGAGACCGGAGAAAATGTACATGGACGATTTAGCGGCGCTCGACATGTTATCGGAAGAGGCCATTGTCGATCAATTGCAGCACCGATATGAGCAAGCGCAGATATACACGTATATCGGTGATATATTGGTTGCTGTTAATCCTTTCACTAATCTTGGCTTATATACCGGAATCGTAAGTAAATAGATCGTAGTAGTAATTATATTATATAGCAATATGTTGTATATTATTATTATTGTTGTTGTTGTTATTGTTGTTGTTGTTGTTGTTGTTATATTGGAAAAGTTTGTGTCATCGAATGACAAACGCCAAAGACACGGAATAATTATATATTATATTAAACAACTAATGGAGAATAAATCATCGATTACATACAAGTATCGAGTGTAATAATTTATTCTTTAGGAACAAAAACGATACAAGGGTCAAGCGAGATCGGATAATCCTCCGCATATATTCGCGGTCGCTGACGCCGCGTATCAAGCTTTACTTCATCAACGTCAAAACCAGGCGATCGTCATCAGTGGCGAATCGGGTGCTGGGAAGACGGAAAGCGCAAATTTATTATTGAAACAGCTCGTCTATCTCAGCAAGGCGCCGAATCGCAATCTCGAGGAGAGGATACTTCAGATAAATTCTATAATGGAAGCTTTTGGAAACGCCACGACCGGCATTAACGCGAATTCGTCGAGATTCGGAAAGTATCTGGATCTAACGATGACGAAAGGCGGAAAGGTGACTGGTGCGCGAATCTCGGTATATCTATTGGAACAATCGCGAGTGATCGCTCAAGCAGAGTACGCCAAGAATTATATGTAACCGTATATTAGAATTTTTTCGTAATTCAAGACAATAAATTAAAGATGATAAATCTTGGTGTTTTAGGGGTGAGCGAAATTTTCACATTTTCTATTATATGTACGATGGTCTCGAGGCGGACAATCGTCTCTCGGAGTATCACCTCGATCCTACGCTCCGGAAGTATCATAGATATCTCACACACTACAGTCAGACATCACAGACGCACATCGACAAGTTCCAACAGCTCAAAATGGGTTTCAAGGTACTCGGATTTCAGGATAGCGAGATAGACACGGTGTATCGAGTTTTAGCCGCTATCCTCCATCTGGGTGACATCGAATTCGCCGAGGTGGCAACGCAAGACAACACCGACAATAAAAGCAGAGTGATCGACACTATTCCGTTAAATAGAGGTAAAATTTCTCTCGTTTTCTTTCTCACACTTGTCATCGTTAGTTCGTTATAATTAGGTACGTTGCTTATAATTAAGCTCAATTATGATAAGAATTATGATTAGTCGAGTTAGCCGATAAAACTCCGACTTACTAAATAAATCTTTATAAAAATGTCACAGACGATTACGTACCATTGTACGAAAACGCTCTGTTTTTCAGTTTCGAAACTACTCGGCGTCGAACAGAACGATCTCCTGGAGGCCCTGACATCAAACTCGGTGATGACGAGAGGCGAGACAATTACGCGGAACAATACGGTAGCCGAGGCTCGTGCGGCTCGCGATGCGATGGCCAAGGGCCTCTATGGCCGACTCTTCGATTGGATGGTCAATCAGATCAATTGTTTACTGTGCTTCAGCCGCTCGCCAAATTACGAACCGTTGGCAATCGGACTGCTCGACATCTTCGGCTTCGAGAACTTTCCTAGAAACTCATTCGAGCAACTCTGCATCAACATAGCTAACGAGCAGATACAGTACTACTTCAATCAGCACATCTTTACCTGGGAGCAACAGGAGTACATGGCCGAGGGAATACCCGTGGATCTCGTCGAATTTTCCGACAACAGGCCGGTTCTCGACATGTTACTCAGCAAGCCCATGGGACTTTTGGCGCTGCTCGATGAAGAGAGCCGATTTCCCAGAGCGACTGATCGATCTCTGATCGGTGAGTGCAACTATTCTAGATACATTATTCCATAAATGTATTTTTGTATTGCTGCGCCGCTTTCTTTCGAGTATACATTTATTCCATCACGAAGTATCTTATTCAATTTTTCAAATAAATAAATAGGGTAAGACGTTAGTAAACTCTTTCACTTGATAATGTTTGAGTTGCTCATCGTTATACAATTCTTCATTTAAACTCGCAACTTTAAGTGGCGCATAAATATTCGTGCTATTCATATATCTTTAATTATTTTTGCAATTTCTCTGGCAGAGAAATTCCACAACAATATTAAATCAAAATTCTACGTGAGACCTAAATCGGATGCGGTCTGTTTCGCGATACATCATTTCGCTGGTCGTGTGGTCTATCAAGCCGAAGGATTTCTCGAGAAGAATAGGAACTTCCTGCCGCCCGAAGTCATTCAGCTAGTACGACAGTCGCAATACGACATGGTTCGTTTCCTGTTCCAGTGCCCGATCACGAAAACCGGTAACTTGTATTCAGCATTGCAGGAGAATGACTCGAGAAAATCGCTGTCAAATCAGAGTACAAAGGTGTGTTTGTGTATATATACATATATATATATTAAATTTATTCTTTGTACATTTTTTCCCACTTTTGTGTATTTTGTACCAATTATTACCGACGTACTAATGTTTCATAGGAACGTTATTCTAGTCGAGGTTTGGCATCACAATCGAGAGCTCAGCAGACAGTAGCGACATATTTCCGATACTCCCTGATGGATCTATTACAAAAGATGGTGTCCGGTTCGCCTCAGTTCGTTCGATGTATAAAACCAAACGATTCGAGAAGTCCACGCTTCTTTGACAAGGACAAAGTTGTCAAGCAGTTAAGATACACTGGTGTCCTCGAAACGATACGTATAAGACAAAATGGATTTTCTCACAGAATACCATTCAACGAGTTTCTTAAGAGGTATTTTTAGATTAGTTACACAATTACAGTTACGCGGAAAAATATCTTTATCTAACGTTTATCAATTATGCAAATTTATAAATTATATAGATATTGCTTCCTTGCTTTCGGCTACGAGGAACGCGTAATTGCCAATCGGGACAATTGTCGTCTTCTTCTGTTACGATTAAAAATGGACGGATGGGCGTTAGGCAAGACAAAAGTCTTCCTGAAATACTATCACGTCGAATTTCTCTCGAAGCTGTACGAAGAACAACTGAGGAAAATTATTATAGTCCAAGCGTGCGTTCGACGATGGCTCGCAAAAATGAAATTTAAAAAGCAAAAATGGCAATATGCTGTCTCAGTGATCACGTTACAGCGTCATATTCGAGGATGGTTATCTCGAAAACACACGGGAGAAATGTTGGCTCAAAAACGCGCGAAAGAAGAAAACGAAACACTCGATTTTATGCTACGTGAGTTTGGTTTTCAACTTTGACAACAATGTATTTCTTTAGTTCAATCATCGCTATGTATTTCTCATTTATTTTAATATTTTTGTAGATGAGATGAAACGTAGAGCGCAAGAAAATACGAATATAAATAATCGCGAGAAATATTGGCAAGTACGTAAAAATTTAGAAAAGAACGATGCCGCGACCGTCATACAAAGCCGTATGTATAAGAAAAATTGTAATTAGATCTATAATTAAGCTAAGAATATTGTACATAACTAAATTTTTCAACAGATTTCCGAGGTTATACCATCCGCAAACGCTTTGGATACGATCTGGAAGAACGTTTCAAGAGAATTTTGAACAATTACGATAATATATACGATGGTCACAAAGCGCTGTTACGCGAAGGACTGAAGCACGAGGACGCAGCTCTTATCGTTCAAAGATGGTACAAAAAAGAAGAGAAACTAGTCAGAAGGAAACCACCTACAAAGGATCCCATACATCCCAAGCTACGACAAGCAGATCTGATTCAATTCTCTCAGAATGTAATTAAGAATTATTTACTACTTTTAAAATTAATACTAGAAAATACTTCATTTCTTTTTATTAATTTCATTTGTTTTAAATTTAATTTTTTACTTGGTATCACGAGAAAAACATATAATCGTCGACAGCCGATTAAGTTATTAGATGTCATTTATCTATCATCTTTTTACCGCTAGGTGCACATGAAGAATCAAGAGGTACATAAAAATTTGCGTCGCAACAAGCCTGGTATCAGATTGAACGATATCGAGGAGCCACCGCTCGATTATGTTCGTCCTGAAGGATTTAATATGGTGCGATCGATATTACAATATCGTAACGAAACGCAGCCGTACGAGGAAGACAGTGTCAAGTATTATCGGGATCTCAAGGAGGAGATGAGCAGGTAGATATATACATAAATGTACATATGTACAAATCAAGACCCATTGTACACTAGCGGCCAAAAATGCCTTCCCCCTTAAGTTAGTAGCGTATCAGACAGAATATATCCAGTTATATCGCATCTAGGTATTCATACATCATGTTAAGTTCGACAACGTTGCCTCGTGCCGCTTGTCAAAATCGGTCAGAGTGATAGCTCCTCGAGAAAAAAATAATATTAGCTAATTAAACAGATAATCAATCGGGTAGGTATTTACATTTCACATAATATTTCACTCTGACCGATTTTGACAAGCGGCACGAGGCAACATTATCGAACTTAACATTGATGTACGAATACCTAGATGCGATAAAACTGAGTATGTTCTGCCTGAAACGCTACTAACTTAAGGGGGAAGGCATTTTTGGCCGCTAGTGTACTATGATTTAGTGTCGCAAACAAAGCAAAAATTTAAATATTTAATTTTCGAATGCTTTCGGCACTCGCATCGTAAGTGGTTCGGAATTCGAAGACGACGAAGTTGGCTGGGACTTGCCGTTGATACGGCTAGAGAATGACCTTCATTCATCGTCGAGGTATACCGTAGATTTGGTCAACTGTATCTATATTAATTTATTCTGACACCAATTATATATATATACATATGTATTTTCCAGCCGCTTTTTTTTATGCATTACAGAAGGCAAGAGAATTTCAAAATACAAATGACTGAACTTCGAATTAAAGAAATAATTAAATAAAGATTAATCAAACGTTTGTTTTTGCAAAATTTCAGCAAATTCAGCACATTCCAATTTCGATTTTTTTAATTTGAATAAAGTGTTTTTAATTTCTACTTCTCTTTGCTTATTCTCTTAATGATCTTTTATTTGCGTATGCTCACGTCCAAAGGTAGTCTCTTAGCAGATGTGATGCGCTTGGATTTTATTTATATTGATGTTAAACAAGATTATCTGTATTTAGGAATCGGAGCAGTCACATTCTGGAAGTAAGTGCCGAGAGGAGGGATCGTACAGCTTCGCGCAATTTTGCAGTAGCACCAGAGCAGCATCTGTCAAACATTTGGCACAAAGCCCTGAGACATACATCCAATCTGCGCGAAAACGAGAATCCCAAGAAAAATGTCAGGTAAATGTCAGGTGCATTCTTATATGAATAAACGCATGGTATTTTATAACGAGTTTAATTTATATTTTTATAACGAGTGATTTACTTAAATCCGTACAATCTAAATCAGTTAAAATCTATATGAATCAATTATGATTGATTTCTCTATTCATTTTATTTAAAATTTGTAAATCGATATTAGTTAGATTTTTTTCATTTTATATATAATAGTTATATACCCACAACATTCTAACGTTGTTAATTCTAAAACTAATAACTAATTTCGCATTTATTTCTTTATCTTTTTACATTACCAGAAGTATTATAGCAAATTTCCAGGTAAAGTCATAAATTTATTTTTATTGTCGCTTACTGCATATTTGTCCCTTAATGATTTTATTACTCGCAAGTAGTCTAATCTCAAACTATTATGATAGCCCATAAGTAATGCCGTTTCGTTCAGATTGAGTAAACATTATCATCTTGTTCGTGAACATGATTTATTATTATATAATCTATATAATAATAAATCATGTTATTCATGTCATTAAATTTATTAGCGTACTTATCGTAAAATTTTGAAAGAATTTGAGTGTACCGTTAAGAATGGAAGGCCAAAGTACGGATAACGTGCTATTATAATATTAGACATTTGATGCTTTACAAGTTTCGAAAGGATAACAATACTACTAGTGCCACAAATGACATTAATTCTAGGCTTTATTCTAACGCCTTGAATATCAAAATGCCATTGGTTCAAAAAAATTTAAAAAACTTAAATGATTTCGATCTTTCCGATAGACCAAAATCTGAAATACTTTTCTGCGAAATTATCTTCATTTTGCAAGAAAGTAATTGAAAATGTCATTGAATTTGTCAAAAAAATGGAAAAGGAATAATGATGGAGATTACTTTGTAGATTAATCTGTACTAAAGAAAATAAAATTTTGCACATCAAAAAATGACATTACTTACGGGTATCCCTAATATTTATTTTCAAACTATTCAAAAAAATAATAATTCAAAAATTCAGAAAAATAATAATAAAAAAATATTCAAAAGAATAATATTAATTACTATTACAAGACTATATTAGATTATACTATATTATATCTTTTTAAGCTTCTTCTCAAAGAGGAAATTTTAAAAGGAATCGATTTTTTTCAGTACAAGGGCTAATGAGGTGCATAGCAAAAACCTGCAATCATACGCAAATGGACAACGTGCAACCAGTTCTCCGTATATCCACAATCCATCTGGCTTACGACTCACGATCGACAATCAATATAACGCCATAAACGAACGCCAAAATGGACAGAATCTCGTTAACGGTCAACATATCAATGAGTATCACACATCGGTCAATGGCATATTGAACAACAATTATCAGATTATTTGTAAAATAAATAACGACGTTGTAAAAGACGAAATAAAAATTTTGAATACCGAACAATCCGGATTAACTAATAGTTTGATAAATAACAAGTCAGAAAAAACGCCAGATCGATCGAGTTATAAACAAACAAATAAACAAATCGATTATCCGGTGAAAAATCATCAGAATAACGTGAACCATAAGAATGGTATCAACCGATTAGCGAATGGAAAAATGATTGATCAGGAAGAGCTTCAGAAAGATACGTTCAATATCGCGGCCAATCTCAGGCAACTTTTGAGACCGACTATGATCGAGAAACGACAAGAGAGTGCCAAAAACGAATACGACACGGAAGACATTAACGGTCCTTATAATTTTAGGCAATTGCTAAGACCGACCGGATATCTCCCGACGGAATCTCTAAGAAAAAGGAAAGGAGGAATAGTTTCCAATGGAATGCCACTATCGAAGGAAAAGATTCCGGAGAAACACATTAAGAGAAGAGCGCCACTGGCACCAACCCAAAACAAGTTCGCAAATGCAAAAAAATGATGTTACTTTGTTCAACAGAAATTCCAAAAGACTTGACTTAACGAAGAGTGCTTTACTTTTATGGACAGTGATACGAGAGATATAAAAACCACATAATTATGACTGTTGTAAAATATTGAACATTTTTATTTAAATGTATATGTTTTTTCTCCGTATATGTATAAAGTTAAAGTTTTATCATTATTGCCATTTATATAAAAAGAAATAATCTATCAACTTAACCATGGAACTTAAATGCTATTAGAAACAATTAAGATTAATTTAAATGCTATTATTAAGATAATCGTTAGGAGATGTAGTATATTACGCATAGAGTATAAAGACATCCATCATATTTTGAGAACATGCCACATTAAACGAACATGTCACATTCGACGAAAGTAATATATATATATATATATATATATATATATATATATACTATAATAATA